TTTTTTTGCCTAAATAATTATATTCATTTTTATTTATGTACATAGCCAATATCAATATTTTGGCATCACCTTAGAAAATTTTAACAGTGTAACCTATTTTTTAAACAATAAAAATTAATAATAATTAAAGTAAATTGGAAAAATTAAATTGATAAAAATTAAATAGTAAAGACTAAATTAATAATTAAAAGAAATTTAAAGGAGTAAAAGTTATAGATTTTAAAGGTCTTTAATTAAATTTTTCCTTATAACTCTGCAGTATAGATATAGATCTTGAAATATAAAATAGATAATTTTCTATTTACAAGTTTAATTATGCTAATAAATCAACTAATTTTAAAAGTTAAAGGTTTTTTACCCGTTAAACTATTCATTCAAAAATATCTGATAGCTAAACTTATATGTGATATAATTTTTTTTTAACTTTTAAAATTGTACAATAAGCATGCCATCATTAAAAAAGTTAATTTTAACTATTAGTTAACTAAAAAAATAAAAAGATAAAAAGATAAAAACTTATAGAAAATGAGACATAAATTGCAAATAAATATTTTATACAAAAATTAATATCAATCAAGTCCTTGGAACAATGGTCGGTATAAGAAATAATATTTGTAACCTATTATTTATATATAATTTAGGGGACATATAATTGATATTAATTTTTATAGGGTATTTATCTATAATTTTAAGAGTCAATTTTTTTGTAATTTTTATGTTATTTTTCGTAATTTTTAAGTCAACTAACTACCTAAGTTAACTTTTGTAATGGCAAGTTATTTAATGTATAATTTTCAAATGTTGAATAAAAAATTACATTACATGAAAGTTAGGATATGAGAGATATTTCTAAGCGAATAATTAAGAGACAAAAATATTCTCCAATTCAAATTTTAATCATTTTTTTGTAATGTTAACAATTTCAATCAAATGATTTTAACCACTTATAAAATCACACAAATTCTTTCATCTAAAAATCACTTATTTTTTTAAGCCTGACTTAATTCAGAGGGCTATACTCTCACAGCCACACATGACATGGCCACCTTTAGGTACCTCTAGTAAACTGGCAGGCCAAGTCATATGAATCCCATGTGATTTGATGAAAATAGTGAAAATGTATGGAACATCGTACATGAATTGAAGATGGAAGCAAGTGGCGAATGAAATGAAAGACGAATTGATATTGAAAATTTCACAAGAAAATAAAAAGGTCCGACAATTTCAGTTATCGCATTTTCAAAAATATGAAAAATATTATTTGCATAAAAAGACAACTAATTTAGGATTTGATAACCTATAAAAACTCTCCAAACTCCTTCACAATTATTATGCCACTCTCTTTTACTAATTCTCTAAAATTCTCGAACTCAATTTTGTCATCACTATCCCAACATCCTAAAATCCGCACCCCTTTCATCTCTCCAACGTCCAATTTTGAAAAAAAAAAAAAGAAAAAAGAAAAATAATGATTCTATAAGTTAGAAAATGAAAAATACACTTTTCCCTCGCTTGGGGAGAGAATTCTAATTATTTTTGTTAGAAAAGTGGTCCACAATTGAGATAAACAGAAAATGTAGGGTTTGTTTTATATTTTCAACCTGATCGATCAGTGCACGGAATCCAAGCCACAAGTTGGGGGAATAAATAATAATGCATGGTGTGTGTACACACACACACACACACATCTCACAATGATATTGTGCGTGTGCTCCCAAGATTTGAAACATTGCTCCTAACACATTCGAACGTGCAAAATTCCCTCAGTTGCTCTCTAGTTTTTCTTTATTATATCCTCTAGAATTAATCGACTCAGATGTGCTGGTACGTATATGTTCAGAGTCAAGACCCTAAACCAACTTGTATTAAAAATTAATTCTAAGGATATAGTTTGTATTTTCAGTTTTAGTTCAATCTTTATTTAAAAAAAAATAGAGAGACAAGCATCAATAACTCAAGGTTACAGGAAGGATTGAATCCGTGACATTCTACTAAAACTTACACGTCACTAAGTTATGTACAAAGCCATTTTCAATCGTTGTAATTTGTATGTTGCTGCTTATTAGTAACACTTTTGCGGCCCCAAATTCAAGCTAAATAAATGAGCAGATGAATGCTACAACAATGAATTATTTCACCATTAAAAGCTTGTTTCATTTGTAGTTTAGTAATTTGGTCAGATTTTGAGTCGCCTATTGAAATTAAACTAATATTGACATCATAAGAAACAATTTCATATAAACATCTCATGGACATTACATGAACATCTTCCCTGATCTTTGCAGTTGTGGAGAAGCATGATTTTATGGTAGGAACATGTTATTTTAATGTTTTCTTGCAGATACCAATTTGACTAAAACGGATATGCCAGTTAATTCCCAATCCCTCCCCCCTCTATTCCTTACTATAGTAATCACACATGCAAAAACAATGCAAATCGAAATTGCATATTGGATATGGAATTCCACTCCTCTCTAGCGCACCGCCTGTATCATCATAGCATCATCAACGTAGGAAGTAGTGGAAGGCACAGAGATTATGAAGCTCGCTAGATTCTCAAGCTGTCGTGGTGTAGCATTCGAGATCAATCCTAATAGAACCAACCCTTTTGCAATAATAGGGTCATCCTCTTCACCACCACCACCACCATTATCATCACTGCCAAAGCAAGATAGAACGGGAGCTAACTGGATATGGCTTCCATGGAGTCGTCGTAACAGTTCTTTCAAGATATTCCCTCGGTCTCACCACTCGGCTAGCCCAAGTAGGAGCCGAGCCAGCAGCCACTTCTGTGACATTGACATGGACGAAGCAGGGGGGATGTTGAAGTAGAGTTCTTAGCAGAAATTGAGGATTTAGAGACACCAGAGATGGTCAAGGTTGCACCACCAAAGAATGCGAAAACTTCAAGGTTGTCAGTGATTCTGCTTGATCAAGGCTTCACGGTGTACAAGATCTTATTTTTGGTTTGTTTGAGCTTGAACATGGTTGCTTTGGCTCTTGCAGCTTCAGGGCATCTCCAATATGGGAAAGACACAGCAACACTGTTCTCCATTGGGAACGTTTTAGCTCTAACGTTGTGCAGAAGCGAGGCAGCACTAAGATTCATCTTCTGGTTTGCTGTGAAAACTCTCGGTAGGCCAAGTGTTCCTCTCAAGATCAAAACTTCAATCACTTCCTTTCTTCAAAGCCTCGGAGGAATGCACAGTGGATGTGGGGTTTCTTCTATAGCTTGGCTTGTCTATTCTCTTGTCCTTACAATCAAAAACAAAAAACTAACTTCGCCAGAGATTATTGGATTAGCATTTGGGATTCTCACTCTAATTTCTCTTTTTCCCTAGCCGCCTTTCCTGTCATCCGCCATCTTCATCACAACTTCTTCGAGCGAACACATCGTTTCGCAGGGGTGGATGGCTCTGATTCTTCTCTGGTTCTTCATCTTCCTCTTTATAAGCTATGACCCTAGTTCAAAAACCTACAATGCAACCATCTCTATGTTAATAAAGAGGCAAGAGTTTTGGTTCACCGTAGCCATAACCATCCTGATCATCACTCCTTGGCTAACTGTAAGAAAAGTTCAAGTCAAAGTGTCAGCAGCATCTAGCCATGCTTCAGTTATAAAATTTGATGGTGGGGTTAAACCAGGATTACTTGGAAGAATCAGCCCATCGCCATTATCAGAATGGCACGCCTTTGGGATCATTTCAGATGGGGAAAAGGAACACATAATGCTAGCTGGTGCAGTTGGGGATTACACCAAGTCTTTAATCTGTAACCCACCAAGCCACCTATGGGTTCGAACCATGCACTTCGTTGGCTTGCCTTATCTGATAAATCTGTACCAGAGGGTGGTTTTGGTGGCCACTGGTTCAGGGATTTGTGTGTTCCTGTCATTTCTGCTGCAACCATGCCCTGCAAACGTTTTTCTAGTGTGGGTGGCTAAGGATATTGAGATGAACTTTGGGAAGGAGATTATTGAGTTCTTGGGGAGATATTCGAAAGAGAAGATGATTGTTCATGACACTGCAATTAGTGGGAGGCCGAATGTTGGAGAGATGAGTGTGGATGCTGCAATTAGGTGGGATGCTGAAGTGGTCATTGTTACAAGCAATCCCGAAGGAAGTAGAGACGTTGTTAGAGCTTGTAAGAAGGCTGGGATCCCTGCTTTTGGGCCTATTTGGGATTCTTGAAGGATACTCAAGTCATAAAAGGGAGTTAAGGCGAGAATATATATATATATATATCTTTATTATTAGCCATACCCTGTTCAATAGATATATATATATATATATCATGTACTACTATATTCATTCACTCCCTCTGTTTAAATTGAACAGGGTGTGGCCGATAATAAGGAATTCTTATTGGTTATAGCAATTTTGTAGAATTGAAGAAGCCTTTGATAAATATATATCATACTAATTGCTTCATTATTGGTTCATTTGGTACGAATTATAGTAAATACTAAGTGAATAGTACATTGATTTATTTAATATTGTATTGAACATAAGAGAAAGAGAAAACGCTACCCATATTCATATTTGTATGCTACACTCGGATCGTATAAAATCTTCAAGTTATTTGCCCAATGAAAAATGTGCCACCTGATTTTTTTTTTATCTTAAATGTGAATTTTTTACATCACCGATAATTTTATCTTTGGCTTGAAATGGTGTTAGAAATATAATGATAAATAAACAAGCTCAGTTTATTAAGAATAAAACATATTATACACACTGACATGGTTCTTAATATGACATGATTAGAACACTCATGATCCTAGCTTATGCAATTGCACCGACTGGCAAGTGGTTCCTTTCCCACTAATGACTAATGCAATTGCTTCAGCATGATCTATGTATTACATTACAATTACATCACCAACCCAAGACACCAAAAACATAGTTATAAATTTTGCACCCACACAATTTTTTAGGGACGACAAGCGGAGTTTACAAATCGGACATTCTGGAATCGCCATAAGCGACTTTTATTTATTTACAGAATTCACGAAACAAAACGCCAAAACATCAACACACTGAACATGTCTGTCTATCGACTCCATAAAACCTCAGGTTTTCCTGGTTTCAAAGGTCTCTCTTCTAGGCACTTCATAAGTCAACCCTCCTTGGTTGCCATGATCAAACTCTGATCCAATGTTCTGTTTCGAGCCTGATTCTATTTCATCATCTCCCACAACCATGGTTTTGGTTGTCTGTGCTATTTCTGTTATGGTTTCTCCAATAGCATCGATAAAGCCACTTCCTGCTTGACCTTTCTGAACTTGTTCTGAGGCTCTCTCTGCTGGTCTGATCATTGTCTGTCCGATTTCACCTACAGTTTCACCTACTGCTCCTATCACCTCGCTTCCTCCTTGTGCAGCTGCATCTAATGGCTTCTTCATTGTCTGCGCAAAATCTCCCACTGCTTCTTTAGTGGATTGGGCATATTGGCCTATAGTTTCGCCAATCCCACCACCTTCCTGAAAGCTTCCAGTGATGTTTTGGAACATGCCTCCTCCTTTTTGACCTTGTTCTTGTCCAGATGATGGCCTCCGCTCAGTTTCCTCAAGTGAAACCGTCATAAGAAAGTCTCAGTTTTCAGCAGCGTTATCATAGTACACTTTTCAATAAAATCACAGCACATTCACTGGAGATTAAACTCAACTCTATTCAAGTCAGGGTTGCAAAAATTATTTTCAAGTATGGAACCTAAATAAAAAGTTAAAGAACTTAAGCTTTTAACGTCATGTTCTTCATAATCTAAAAAGCAAAATATTAGAAACAAATGCTCATAAATTCCTTCTCTTTTCCCTCAGACTTTGACATGACACTAACTTGTACTCCTTTTCATGGGAAAGGAAAAATCAATTAGAATCTATTTTACAAAAACACAAACAAAAATACTCTTCAAATATCCTAAAATTAGAACATATTTTCCAACAGAATTTTCAATTCCGAAATGTTTATCACCATTTAAGAAACAAGGATTGCATGTGAATCTGGAGCTGTGTGCTCAAGCATGATGCATAATGAATATATGAATTAGAAGCAGAAGGCCTGTTGGCCTAATGCCACCTTAGCCACCCCCAAATGTGAGGGGTGGCAGTTTCGAATGGGGGAAGCTTTCCTTTGGGAGTGTTGTGTGTGAATTAAGCCAATATATATATATATAGATATATGAATTAGAACTGCGATTAAGAGAATAAAAACCTGTGGTTGAGACGCTTTTTTAGTTTCGTAATCCTTCTCTGCCTCCTCCTTCTTCCTCGCAGTATAATCCTTAGCAGTCTCCCCAGCTCTAGCAGCTAACCCTTTGACAGCACCTAATGACTTGGATGCAAGCTCACTGGCCTTATTAGCAGCATACCCCGCCGTTCCCTGAACAATATTCGCCGCCGCTTTTGTCCCTTCCACAGTCTTCTCCGTCGAATAATGCGCCGCCGTCCACCCTGCCACAGTCGCCTTGTCCTTCAGATCAGCCGCCAGTTTTCCAGCATATTCAGCAGCAGTCTTGCCAGTCTCCAGAGTGACATCCTTAGCCCGACCAGCTTTCTCTCCAACATATTGAGTAGTAGTGCTACCTGCAGATTTCGCCTTCTCTGCTGCTTGAGAGGTGTAATCTGCAGCCGTCTGAGTGGCGCTTGAGATGGTGTCTTTTGCAGAAGCATAACCTTGTTGGCCTTTCTCTAATGTCACGTCCTTAGCTTGAGCAGCCTTCTTTGCTGCTTGAGAGGTGTAATCTGAAGCCGTCTGAGTGGCGCTTGAGATGGTATCTTTTGCAGTAGCATAGCCTTGTTGGCCTTTCTCTAGTGTGTAGTCTTTGGCTTGAGCAGCTTTTTCCATTGCTATGTCCTTGGCCTGTGCAGCTTTCTCCTGAGTTGTTTGGGTTGTAGAACCGACTGTCTCATTAGCTGCCTGCTTTGCTCTTTCATACCGCTCCTGTGCTGCTCTCATAGCTTCCATTGTGTTCTCTTGGACTTGGCCTCTGTATTTGGAAATGTCTTCCAAGGTAGATTGTGATTCTTTCTCCTGATCACCACCTCTTCCTCTGTTTTCTTCTCGTCTTGCTCTCTCTGTCGCTGATTCTAATCCTCTTGCGTCCCTTCCATCTTCTTCCTTCTCGCCTCCTTCGAATGTGCACGTTATAACAGCAGTAGGACCTTGAGTTTCAACTCCAACCCTGCCTTTAACTTCTCCTCCGCTCTCTGTGCCTCTCGTCCCCAGTTTCTCTTCTCTGATTCTAGCCTCCCCCCTGTTTTCCCAGCTTCTTCCCTCTTCTGCTTCAACCTGCCCTTTGTTCCCTCTTCTTCCTTTCTCCGCTTCAACTTGCCCTCTGTTTTCTCTTGCCTGTTTCTCCACACCGCTTTGCGTTGGTCCGCCCGTATTCACTACTCTGGATCGACTCTCGGGTTCAGATTGATCTCTCCCTCTAGCTCCTCCAGCCGAGCCCTTGTTCGCTTCAGCTTTCCCTTCGAACTGGCCCACATTTGAAAAGGGCGCGGTATTCCCGACTTTAGCGGCATAAGACTCTTTCTTCTCCCCCTTTTCTCCCTTCACCTTATCAGCAAGAGATTCGAAATGAGGCCCCAATTCATGAGTCTCCCTGGCTTTCCCAGTCCCGCCAATATCCCCAATGGCTCTCCCGCCATGCTCCTTCCTGTACTCCCCACCCTGTAACTCCTGAATACTCCCTTGCGGGGTATCCGATCCTTCCTTGACCTGTTCAGCGAGATGCTCGAAGTGGGTGGTCATCTTGGGGACTCGATCCTTCTCAATGTGAACCTCCCTCTCGGTAGTCGTGTTCTCCCTGCGAGACACCTGTTCCGACGCCATTGTTTTGTCGTCAACTTCTTCTGTACAAGCGATCGCTTTATGTTCGATGATATGCTTGTCCGAGATGAGACACACAGAGAAACCGGAATGAGCGGGATATAAAAGGGGAAGTGAGCATGGCGGTCGGGAAGGAGGTGGCTGGTGGATGGGTATGCATGAGAGAGGACATGTGGGGGGAGAGGTGGCGCTGGTGCCACGTGGATGGGGGTGGTGATACCATTTGGGTGACTCAGCTTTGAATTCGCAGAGAGCAAAGAGGCGAAGATGAGGATCAATATGGCAATGTTCGAAGGCTTCGTGAAGAAGACACGTGGAAGCTTTGAACGAGTAACGAATGACTCGTTCAAAGCTTTGAACGAGGGGGCGAGGGGAGAGACATCTGGCCTCTGTTTTCTGGGTTTACATAAAATTGGTGGCCTATCCAAAAATTGGATTTGATTCTCGAGTTGTGGAACTCACAGCACGTTTATAGTATAATTTTGAATATCAGACCAAAAAAAAATTTTGAATAACTTTGACTTAAATCTGATTTTAAAATGTTTTTAAAAAGATATTTATGTTTAGGCTTGAGTTCTGTAAGTTGTTATAATTATAGGAATAACCCAAATTATCAGTTACAGACCCTGAACCAATCAACTTTAGTTTAGTGTTAATCGGTCTCGGTTTAAAAAATCGATTTCATATGCAATTTAGAATCAATTTATTAAATTAAGCAAAAATATTGCCCTTTCAATATCTTAAGTAATTTATTTTAATTTCTGTTTCAATTTAATGCATTGATTTTAAACTTTGGTCATATCTATTCTTTTCAATATATTCATTAAAGACGATTTTACAACAATTTAGACCACCTTAGGACTAGAAAGAAGTCATAGAACTAAAGTAAAACAATAAATACATTTGAATTATGAGTATATAAAAGTGAAAAATTGTATCATTTACAAGTCTTAAGCACTACTTTGACTTTTATTCACACTTCAACTCAGTCTTGCAATATAAACTAGTAGTTTTAGACTGTGTTAGAATTTGAATTGAAAAATATTGATTATAAAACAATGATTAACAGAACGTGATGATATTTAGATAATATTTTTAAAATTGGTTTTAATAAAATTAAAGATATTTGGATAATTTTTTTAATACTAATTTTGAATATATAAATTACAGGCATTCATTTTATCGTATATATTATATTGAAAAAATTAATCTATGTGAAAAAACAAATCAATCTGTCTAATTTGGGATAAAATTCAAAAAAAATAAAAGGATCAGACTTTTATATATGATAAATAATAAAAAATGGATTGGGTCATTACTTGCATTGGGTAGGAAAAAAATAATAAAAAAAATGCAAAGAAACTCTCTCTCTCACACTCCGTGTTCGGCCAGTAATATTCCCGTCTTCTTTCGCCTATCACACTATGGTCAGCACAGCACCCATCGGAACCGATAGAGCGACAAGGAAGGAGAATGAGGAAAACGAGTAGAGGAATGAGGAAGTAGATCGAGAGGAGGAAGCTCTCAAGATTGGAGGTGAAGAAGACACTCACGCAAGGGGTAGGAATGAGATCTTAAGGGAACAATTACAAATAATACTCATAATTTATTGGGAAGACCAACCAACCTATAATTTACAGTGTGCCAACTAGTTTTGAAAGCATAGTCATTTTTTAGGGAACAATTACAGATAATACCCGCTCACTTTCACATTTATATTTATTCCGACTTTAAACACACACATCCTCCTTATTACAGTAGGAGCGTTGGTGCTATATATAGCACATGGGCCACTGGCATTTATTTGAAAGCAGAGTCGATTTGAGGTAGTCATTGATGACCATAGAGAATGTTAATGATTTGGGTAATAATGAAGGCAAGTTTGTGCCAAAAAATAATCAAACTTTACAACTTTGGAGCATAACACCAATCCCTTGCTGGGGTTTATTGCTCCCACTTACGTAAGCAAATTAAAAACCCCCCAAAGCAAAAGGAAAAAAGAAAAATCAGGAAAGAGGAAACCAGTTAGGAAAAATCAAGAAAAGAGAGCAGCATGGAGAAGGAGATTCCAGGTATCAGGGAGGCCAGGGAGGCACCAGTGACTGCAATCAGCAGCCATAATGTTACTGTAAGCCTCAGGGTGAGCATCTTTCCTGTACTGAGAAAGCGTCGTAACGTCCAAAAAATAGACAGGCTTCTTGATCCTGCTCAACACTTTGTTCACCACCACCCACGCCATTGGTGTCCCTGCTGGGTATTTGGCCCCGAAATACGGCTGTGTCTCCTTCGTGCATGACCTCTCTGGTTCATTCCAGTCTCTCCCCCTGTATACATCCACCCCTCAATGTTCTACCTCATTTGCATTCCTCCTTCTACTCTAAATTCTTATATTTAGTTCAACATATAAGACATTTCGTACTTTTTGAAATTATATTTCCAACTTTACCCTTGTATTAATTAATCTAGTCACAAGAAATATATTCCCTCCGTTCAATATTACAAGGCATTTTTAACCTCATTACAATTCTAATAAATTAGTCAATTGAATTTAAAATTACACGATCTTTTATGTATGTCTTAATTTAACAGGGTGCTTCAATTCAAAAAACTTATTAATTACACACCTTAATCAAGGATGTTTTTGAAAAGAAAAAAAATTGATCAACTACTCCTTGAAAAACCCAAAATATAATGCCTTATATTTTTTAAACATGATACTTAAAAAATGCCTTATAATACTGTACAGATAGAGTACAATGTTCTAACAAACACTTTATAATCAAAGGGTGTAAGGTGGAAAAAGGAAAGTCATGCCATTTTATCATGGAAGTAATAAAATAACTACTTTTATTAACCCTAAACCCTAATTAGTGAAATCTAATTGAAAGTGTTCTACAATTAAAACGTAACGAAGTGGTCTCATAATGTAGATGAATGATGAAGAGTGGAGAAGGAAGAACTCACTCATAATGTACAGGAGAAATGCCCAAGAAGAAGACCTTGGTGTTGGCAGGATCCACATTGAGGTTGACCCACCTGGCCCAAGTGGTTAGCCCTTTGTAGAAGGCGATGAAACGGTTCATGTCCTTGTACAGCTTCTTATCTGCCTCCATATATTCCCACCTGCATGCTTCCATACAGTGTTTGTCAACAACACTGACAAATGCATTAACCCAACGGTCAAGCTTTCTTTTTCACGGAGATCTTTATCATTATTAATGTAAGCATCATGAGTAATCACGAGACATAAAGTGAAGAAAAGTTAGAATGATCGTACGGCTGTGAGGTCTCAGTGTGGGTCCACCAGTGCCACGTGTTGAAGACCAGCACGTCCATTCCTCTCCAAGCATCACCGCTCTTAATGGAATCAAGTTTCAACACTCGTCCCACGCTCTCATGATCCACATCCACCAAATACGCCGTCCGGTACAAATTCAGCTCCAGCCCATACTCCTGATCACACATTATTCATGCCCCCATCATTTCTCACTTCACTAGTATTCTTCTTCTTATTCTTTATGCAATCAAATTAAACACTCCTCTCGGGTTCGAACATAGGATCTCTTTTAAACTAGGGATGCTATTGCTGGGACAACTTATGTTGACTATTATATTTCTTCCTATTATCATTGTCGTTATTTTTTCGGTGGATACTTCCATATTAATATATTACCATTAATTATGCCATGCTATTTCCCCAATTATCCTCTATTTTTTCACTTTTTCATGAGGTAAATCCAGGTTCGCGTACTATGATTCACTGTGGTAAATTATTTGGGGGGGGGGGGTTGTTAAATATTCATTGTCCATTTATGATCTAGCTGGACTCCTACACAGTAATTCCTAGCGACAAGGGAGGACTGTATGTCCAACGTCAATCATTGCTAATTTTGACATTAATTTCCCCAAGTTTCCATTTCAAGCAACTGGATTCTGGCCAGATATCTATCACAACAAAATCAAGAGATCGAAACTTTCTTATGAAAAAAAAAACTATATAATCAAAAAAGAACCTTCTCACACAACTGAGCCTTATGTCTAGCGGTGACAATCAATATCAAAAAACTAATAAATCACCAGTATAAAATATAAAATATGTACTGAATTATATTATATGCCTAAGTTATGTTGCCTTGGACTTAGCTCTCAAGTATAGATCAATTTGCAACAACAACTATTTTTTAAGTACTTATTACAATTTTATTTATAAGTCACTTCTAACATATTTAATTAGAATTATATAAAATTTTAAAGTTTTTAAAATTTAACTAAAAATTTAACAAATTTTTAAGTTTATCTATGTTAAATATACATAATTTAATAATGTAACTCCTATCACCAGCATTTAATGGAAGTATGAGAAAAAATTTATAATAAAAAATTAATAATATGATTAATAAGACTGAAAAAAAATTTCTCTTGGAAAATAATAATGGGCACGTTGGAATTTGGTGGCTGAGGTGAGAGATTAATTAAATTACGCAAGGCCTAAGACACAATCATTAATGATGCATTGCTATTAAAATCAGACATGTTCCCTGAAAAAGGAAAAGCATCCCACCAATCACGTCCTAACATTATTGCTCTCCCTTCAGTGCTCCTCACAGTCACAGACAAAAGTATGCTCGCCGCGAAGTACTATCAAGATCGGATTTAGGCTTAACAATCAAAATATGATGAAAGTCCGATCCCACTTTAGGTGATTGCAAGAGCTTGAAAAGACGAGAAAACGGAAGAAAATGAGAGAAAAGGAAAGAAAATGCGAGTGATCAAATTACCCACCTCAAAGGTCACTGAGGTAAGAGCGTTCCTACTCTTGTTGAACGTGGTCCTTGAGTTTGGCACCCAAGCGTGAATCATACAAGCCAGCGAGTTGAATTGGTTCAAACTCAGTGAGTCACCGACAAACATTATCTTCTTCCCTCTGTATTTCTCCAGAAAATTCAAAGCATTGAATCTGCACACACACCCCAAATAAATCCCTCCTACTTACCTAATATTTACACAAATAAGCTGCTATAATACGTTCAGGCGAAAAAAAAGGAGGGGTATCTATACTGCCTATACACATGTTTCGAATTATTGCATGTGCATATGTTTTGAAATGTAAAGGAGATAAATTGATTGTCGTTAAAAAGCACGACTCTATATAGTAAAACACAAGGGAGAGATAACAAGAAAAACAATAAAGTGTCAAGACAGGACAAGGATCCTATGATAATCAACCCTGCTCTTCTATAACACTCTGAGTGCAGAATTGGATTATCGTAAATAAGTGTTCCAATTCACTTAAAAAACAGACCTCAGTCATAGTTTTCCTTCAGAAAAGAAATTCACTTTCACTTACCTACTTACTAAAAACTAAGAAGACGTATATAACTATATGTAGACAGCAACATTCAAACCCAGAGAAGCAAATGGAGTAGCCGTGATCTGATAGTGATTTCTTAAGAATATTGAAGGAGGAGGAGGAGGAGGAGGAGGAGGAGTGACCTGGGCAAGGGACATGAAAATGGCTGCCACCTGAATTTCTGGTACAGAGTGTCGGGACGGCCGTATTTTTGGCAGTTAAACTGTGGATCTATGAAGGGACAAGAAGAGGCGTCGTAGAGAGGGTAAGATTCATCGTACACCCATTTTCCTCTGAACCAATTACATCTTCCTCTGTCTGTGCCGTTGAAACTGGTGGTTCCATTCCTGAGGGTATCCAATTCCTCTGCTTCTGTTTGGCAGGAGGAGGAAAGCAGAAACAGAGCAAGAAGGAACAGAGGTCGGAAATTGGAGGAGGAATCCATTTTCTTGGGGATTTGACGTTCGATCCCTCCTCGGAATCAGCTCTCCTTGAGGGGAAAATTGATGAGCAGTGAACAAGGTGTTGTGTTCTCTGAAACAACTACTTATATAATGTGTCTCTCGGAGGCCCTGTGAAGCTATCCAAGGGACTTCAGAAGGCACGTTGAAACTTGAAAGCAGTTTTTTTTTTTTTTTAATAATCTTTATTTTTGTGCCAGTGTCAGTGGTATTTGTGGGGTTCTTTTAGCCGTGGCATGTGGAATCCCTTTTTTCCGGTCATTACATAATTATAGTATATAGCATAATTGATAAAAAAAAACTAATGCACTATCATAATTACTTATATTTTTAAATTCATTATCATATAGCTATAAATAATTCATGTCAGTGCAAAAAAATAGAATTTGATTACGATTAATTTGGTGTAGTGTTTTAAGAGTATTTTATAAATAATTGATTGTAATTAAATTATACTTAGTTACATTGATATTTTAATTTATTCGCAGTTTGTGAGGTTCCAGTTAATTTTTATTAAGACTTTGAATTGTTGCACGTTGAACAGTGTTAGAGAGTGAGCAAACCAAGGTTGACCCCTAGTCTCCAGTGTCCCTTCGCGGCCATGTGGATGCTTAGCTTTGTCTTAACACATGGGGTTATTACAGAGAACGATTATATAAAAGAAAAAAAAAATAAAAACATTCCTTCTTTTTTTTTTTTTCAATCAACAAAATATGCCTTACACTCCAACCTTTTTCTTTTTTCTTTTTAGGTGACATCACATTATTCGGATGATTTTAGATTAAATACAGATGTGTAAAGAGGTTGAAAAGGTGGTCTTTTTAAGTGAAAGCTATAACAAAAAATATGTTACGTTAAAAACAACTAAAAAATAAATAACTTGTATATCCACTTTTATTTTTCCATCTGTTATTTTCACATAAAAATTAGAGATGTTTTCATTTAATGGACATAAATTGAAATAAACAACATCATTAATAATTTATAAAAAATATATTTTTGTAAGTTAAATATTTTATGTTGATATCAAACTGCGTTGCACGCACGCACAAAGGATTTCAATTATATAAAAATTAAAAACGTCCCCATCAAACATTAAATTGAGGACAGAAAAGCAGCATACATGCCGTGCAAGTTAAGGGTAACCTACCCCATCGAAGAGGCATTGGATTTTGACATTATAAATAACATTGTCATCGCGAGACATATTAAAAATGTAAGGTCACAAAATAATAAAAAAATTTGAGTTTTAATTAAATGCCGAGAACTTGAGTTTTCACGATTTATTCAAATATAAAAATATAAAAAAAATTAATATAAATATAAGAAAGTATGGATACATTAATTAAAGAGAGAAGTGGTGGGCAATGCCAATTATATAATAAAAAATAAAGATTAAAATTATATGCTATAAAAATAAAGTAACAGATGCAGAGTTTGAAATTGATAGGTTATTGATTCTAATATCTCTTCTTATTGAGAAAAGGCTTCTCTATTTATAAATAATTCTGGTTTCATGTCCAAGTGCTATGATTGCCAATTTTTTTAAATTTATCGAGATGACCTGTTGGACCTGATTCAAATTACTAACTCCGCACTTGAGGGACTTCTTTTTGGCAATATATATATATATATATATAATTAAGTATAAAAACTTTCCCTTTTAAAAAATTACCGAGAGAAGAAAGAGACATTTTTTTTAGGGATGGGGAAGATAGCTGAGAATGCATTTGTGATACGTGATAACTTCCTTAATTTTTTTTTAGTGTATTGATGTCGACATTCTACATATCATGAGTAATTAATATTCATTGAGAAATAATTAATTATTGAAACACCATTTACCCTTTGTTTTGTTCAAGCGGATGGAGAGGAAAGGAAGGGAGGAAAAATTCAAGCTCAATATTTTTAAAAAAAATAGAGAAATGGGGTTAAAAAATTTTTAATTGATTTGTCTTACCTTTTCCTTTCTCTTACATCTCTCAATTAAAATTTTATAATTCTATTTATTTATCATTTTATAATTGAACTTATTAAAACTTTTCTTCTCCATTCCTCTCAAAACTAATAAGAGGATTAGCATGTTTGGATTTTGGACCCCCATACCCAGTTTTGTGAGAATATAATAATCATGTATCATTATTATTATATAATAATTCATTACTTAACTTCATCTCGAAAAATTATCATGTATCATTACTTATTTATTGGTGAGAATATCTAACCTATTAACTCGGACTGAGGTTTAATAAGTTTGTAAAGTTGGTCCAGCCAGTTATAGGCATATTTAACTTTCTTTTGAGTTGTTTTTCTCAATAACGATGGTTGTTGAAATTGAAGAATATGTTGAAAATCTAAATATTTAAAAAGAATAAACTAATTTAAATAATATATATACATATATAATATTTAGTAGTTTCGGCAATGACATTAGTAATTAGCAATTGTTACTCTCTTCAGTTCAAAATATAAATAATTTTAAAAAAATCTTATATAAAAAAAGTTTTTATTTTTATTAAAAATATATATTGTTTTTCTTTTCATCTTTAATTTCAAAATTTTCATTCAGTTCAACCACTCAATTATAAGAAAAAAGGTAACATTTTCTACCGTGGTTTATTTAATTTCTATGCTTCAAAATATTTTATTAATTTTCTTTTAAAGGTGCGGGTGTAACTCTTTATCATGGATGTTGTTTATTTCTGTGGAAATAAAATGTGTCATCATTCGTACCAAAGTGAAATTTCAATGTATGTTAATTCCCTCATTCAATCATCTCACTCACATGGGCTCCCACCAAAGAAAGTTTTATTAACCTTTACTCATTTTCTTTACCAAAAAAACTTATAGTCTTTTTTTCCTTCACACCTGGACATATTATTATTAACTTTTAATTCCTCTCACTCTCGGTTATCACTGTCCTTTGAAAGTTTCAATTTAGATTCAGTTCATGTAAAAAAATTGGATTTTTTAGCTGCACGTACGCCTTATGCATCTTTTTTATGTGTATATGAAATATCGATCATCATCAGTGGTTATGGCACGGGTGGTAACAATTTGGGTTCCTTAAAACATAATTTTAATTTTGATTATTGAAGGTGTGTATGGAAAGCATCACTGAGAAGTGATAACCCTTTAAATAACCTTCAAATTTTTTATGGGATCAGTTTTATGATTATCAGTTATGGAGATACACTAGAATGAAGCATATTGACCCTCCTAATGAGAAACCTCATCTCTTGTATTTTAACTTTAGAACCTTGTTCCTTTATAATTATTTAATTTCTTGGGCGTGTATTTTACTTACAATATATGTATTGTTACTAATACATTATCATATATGCATAAATGAATTCGTGAAAAAAAAATTGGTTATTTGTAACGAGGTTGAATCCACGCATGTGAAGTCTGTTCCTTTATGTTTTATGAATAATCGTCCCACCAACCATGAGAAAGATGGAGGGTAAAGTAGATCGAAGGGACCACTTTTCACAATCACAAGTTGGCTGGGCTGTGTGCTACACAATAGAAGCTGATAACGACTTTACCTGAAGACTAATTTCATCATTATTTGTTATTCTTTCATAATATATAGGCGTCCCCCCTCCCCGAAAAAAAAAGAAAAGAAAAGAAAAAAAGCTCTCAGCACCTCATCGCAAGCATGGATCCTTAGCTAGTAAGCTTCCATGCTCAATATTGTTGAGTCTTTCTTAATGTTGTTGATAATGGCCCCACTTGATTTTGGTTCTTATCTTCCTTTTATGTGCACATCTTTAACAAATATTCCCTCCCCATTAACAAAATATATAGACATTTCACATTTCACTCCTAATCTAACTCTTCCTTGTGGAACAGACATGTCAACACTAGATTCGAATTCAAAATCTGTTACAAACAAGAGTGATGGCATTGCTATTGAGACAACGTTAACTAGCCATTGACATGTTACTCACAAGAAATATGAATATACTTCATAACTGAAAGATATTTAATAAATTGCTTGTGTGAACGGGAATAAATGAATCTTCACTTTTTGGTGGCCGCCATGGAAAACGGAAAAAACAAAGGGAGCATCTGATGCATATATATCTACACAATGCAAAAGGACCAGGGTTGGCTTTTTGGTTCACTCTTTTGCCCCATTTATTAAAAAGCTACTTGCTCACTCAGCCTATCCAATGTTACAGAGCCTGCCCATTAGGCATTCAATGATTTTGGACCCACTCCCACCAAACCACGCACCCATTTTCCTCTCTTCTCATCCAACACTCACCCCTCACTAGCCTCCCCTAAATTTGATGGAAATTTAATGTGTAGCATTAAGCTAGAAAGTATGGGAACTGCAGGATTACCTCCCACTGGCTGTGCACCTAACTCTAACTATTTGCATGCTTTAACTCAACTAAGATTATTTGAAATATTAAACATTATATTCTAATTTAGAAATCATTTTTAAAATTTTGTCCTTGTATTTATCAATGTGGTTTCTTGTGTAGTAGGAGAAATATCACGTGCTTCGCACTTTTCGTACTCTCTTTCTTATTCAATTTATTACATAGATGATGATAGATGGTGGGGTTAGGAGTAAAAGAGAAAAGATATGTTATTTTTCATGATAATAGAAAAATAACTTGATATTATTAGCATGCAAAATATAATTGAAAGCGTCTTATATTTTAAATAAAAATAAATATAAAGCATGTTAATTTTTTAACCTATTTATGTTAAAATGTCAAGTATAAGTTGTCTAATTGATTTAATGTATTAAAACACGCATCAAATAAAGTTATACTTTTTTATATATACACTGTATAAATTAATAACAATAATCAAATTTGAGCTGAAAGCAAGTAGCTTAAGGTGGCCTTTATTTTAATGATGACATGTGGATTGGCGGCTGAGATTTTTTAAAATACAATCAACTTATGACTTGTTTGGTAAAATGGAGTTATATTTGGAAGAGTGGGGTAACAAAAATAGAATGTTTGATAAACTGGATTCCACTTTTTAACAAAATGGGTTTTATCAAAAATGGTGGAAGTGAGTCCATCCTTGGACCCAAGCCCTCACTTCT